CCCCCCCCCCCTCCCTTGACTGAGGCTCACGGAGCTATTGCGGTAGAGCTATGAAGTACTGTATCATGAGGTAGCACGCCACTCTCCCCATATAAATGACGACCCCTTCTCAAAGTAGGCATTATCAAGACCACAGATCAACTCCACAACCACTAAACCTATAATATACAAAGCGTAGAACCAACTTCCCTTTAAGAATACCCCATCATACCACAGCCCTCTCCATACACCACTAGATACTCCCACCACATCAACACCAACCCTTCCATAGGCTATAGCCCCAATACCCTCTCCCACTCATCTACCCCCCTACCCCTCGATAATTCCTAGCAACATATAGATCCGCTTACCACCCAGTCACAACCTGCCCCCCCAAAACCTCAAAAGTTAGTAGATAGCGAGATTAATAGGGGATAGTAATTATAAATTACTTGCGGTATTTTGGGGTGAGATTTTTTTTATAGTCGTTGTTGGTTTGAGGTTCTATGTTACTGTAAGCGAAGCTTAAGAAGTATTAGAATCGAGGATTTAATAATATAAATAACATTAGTTAGTAAAAAGTACCCTCACCAAACCCCCTCTCTAACTTACCAAAGTACTATACATACCTACTCTCTCTCTCTCTCTCTCTCTCTCTCTACACATTTCCAATTTCGGTAATCTTACACTACCATCTATATCATCCCATCTACCTCCCCACCCAGCATCACAAAATCCCTACCCTACAATCAATCATACAACCTCCAACATCACATCACATCCTTCCCGTTACATTTCCAAAAAAATATCAATATCTTCTCCCTCTTAAGAATAATTGCCACAAAACCCTTCTAGCGGAAATAGTTTCTATAGGTGAGTAAGTTTATATTCATTATTATAATGACGCTTGCTTAGTTATCAAAGGTAGTCTCTTATGGATTTTGGCAGTCTTTTATGAATTTTGGCAGTCTTTTACTGATAGTCGAGAATAACTCGGAAGAACGAAAGCTGAACACCGAAAATAAGAGTCTGTCTTGTAGATACCCTAATTAAAACCAAGGAAACTAGAAGGGGGACTTTTGAAATGCTTTCATGTTTGTTAATTTCACAATTTCCCCAAGTGAGATGCTCTCATCTTTACTACTCCATCCACAGCGAACACGAACAGCACCTCAGCACATACACCCCTCACCATATACATCAGTCCGGACTATACGCCATGATCCTACTAATTCTATAGCTCATCTATCTAGCAAAGCTGATTGCAAACCTACCCCGCGGGACTTACTCGAGCACGAGTCTAACAGCGCCGTCATATCATCGTTCGCGTTCGTTCGTCGTCAAATAAGCTCTATGCTCGGCTCGCTAACTTACTTGTCTAACTTGCCGCAGCTAAGGAGCGGCACATGGCTATTCCCGAAAACGCCACCGTCGTCAAGGTCATCCATCCAATCCATCCATCGACTAACTTACTTTTTTTTGCCGATTCCCTGGGCCACCGTAGATTTAAGGCTGAAATCGAAGTCAAAGAGTGGTTAGTGCCCGGGTCACCTGGCAGCCATCCGCTGGATCTTGCTTTGGTTCGAGATGGACGAACGGTGCGGATTTGAGCCGGTCATGGGAGAGGAGAGGGAATCGTGGTGATGTATGGGCATCGTAGTTGAGTAAGAACCTGCTGGAAAGGCATGAAATGAATAAAGAAGATGGTGGTTCTCGTGATGACAGCCATGACGTCTTACCACGAATGTATTGCGAGCGCCTATAATTAATTCTTATCTATGTTATGTTTGAGGATTCGAAGGAGTGAGAGTGAGAGGAAGTAAGACGGCGTGGGGGTACCATAGTAAGATAAGCTTCCTCCATGGCTAGGGCCGACTAGTGTGGTTTGAGGCTGATGTTAAGGTGATACACGTACGGAGAGTGAGAGCCATGGAAGTGCAAAAAGAAAAGGTATGGGTGTGACAGACCTGGTGGTTGGTTTCCGCAGGAACCCCAAGTTTGGATATCGGAAAAGATGGTGCGGTGGGGAAGCCTGAGGATGGAATGGATGTCTTCTGGAAGGGCCTTGAAACGTGGACGAGTGAGAGGCTTCACTGCGACCCATGTTTTATTAATGGTTATTGAGAAAGTTGATAGGGGTAAGATGCGATGCGATGCGATGCGATGCGACGCTAGCAAATCTTTCTCTTTGCAGACAGAGTTGTATTCGTGTAGTGTAGTGGTTTTTGCAGGCTTCGTCTTCTTCTTTTTTGCCTTTCACCTCAGACTTCCTGTCTTGTCTTTCTTTGCTTTTCATCCAATCCACAGGTGCCAACGCCATACTCCAGCCTGCTGGGCATATACCGATGGATGATATGATATTGACTCCAAGCCACATGTCTCCCACACCACCACCACGATGTGATCTGGTGTTGCAACAGCCATCGCTCCGAGCGCTTCCCTCGCCATGGGAAGGGTGGAAGCAGAGTTAACCAATGGATCATGTTCTTCAGCGTTATCAAATAGCCTGATGCATGCGAGTTCAGGATCAGCGATTTTTTGGCTGACTTGGCTGCTTGTCGATGGATGGCTGGAGTTGGAGGTTGCATCTGGTTCGTGGAGGCTGCATCACCGTTCCGCTTTAGCGTATGACTTTAATCTGGCCCCACAGAGAATACAGTCGAAGTGTGTGCATACTGTACATCCTGTACATCCAGGATCTTGGGATAGAATGGCTGGATCTGGCACTTTCATCGTCAAGTGATCATGACCCTTCTTCTCGAATGCCATGCGGATTTCGCCTGGCCAACGAGCCAGTGCCGCCACCAGCAAAACTGGAGCCGTTCGTTTCGCGGGCAGAAGCAGGTAGATCGGCGGGCAGGATTACGTTTTGGAGGACCCTCAAGGCCAAGGACCCCAAGCTAAGCCCAAGACATCGATGGCATCTATGGTCTGGGCCCTCCCGCCGCGGCGGGTCGATTGTGGGATGATGGCATCGATTTTTGCATTTTTGCATTTTTGCATTTTCCATTTCGTCACCGTCTGACTGACCGTCTTTCGTTGAATAAAGAATGATTCGTGAATGGTTTACAAGTACGAGTAGACGAGTAGAGTCAGTCTAGCCGTCTGGTATGAGTATTCGAGTACTCGAGTAGGCCTTGGAATCGATGGATTTTCTTGGGTCCATCGTCTTGTACTGTAGGTTGGGTGAGGGGACCGATGATGGGATGTTCTATTGGGGTAGCCAGCCTGACAGCAGAGTGGAGTTCCTCGTTTACCAACAACCGGAGCTTTCGCCTTCGGGTGGTCCCAGAAGTCGCAGAACTTGATGACCGCTATGCCATTTCGGATAATTTGGTCAGGCACACGGCGAAATTCGAGAGCCGGATGAGTCGGGATTCTTCCGGTGGCAGGATGTGGAAGAGGATGAGTAAAAGATTGATGCTGTCACCAAGAATTCCTCGAGATTCCTTGCCAGCGTTCCACCACGGCCGAACGAACTCGCCAATCACCAAGTGACTAAGTGCAAGCTTCGGATGAAGGGCGTGTTCCCTGAAGCAGAAGCAGAAGTAGAGGCAGAAGCAGAAGTAGAGGCAGAAGCAAAAGTCAATGTGATCTCGGTACAAGGGTACTCTGTACAGCCGCTGCAATTTACTGTAGGGAATACATAGCGTAGGTGTTGGTGTTGGTGTTGCCAAAGAGATACTGTACGAAGAGAGAAGTTCATCCATCATTAGATGAGCGAGATGAAGACTCATTATTACTACTGGGCATCACATTATCCACAGTAATCTGCGACAGCACAGTACTCTATTTGACTTGTGCTTGTCAGCTTCTATTCTGGAAGCCGGCAGACGACCCAGGAGCTTGTAGACCCGTAACTGTACGGAGTACGGTACGGTACTCGTAGCGGCCTTGAGCCGGTGATGGGGAGACGCTGGATCTGATGCTTTTCGGCGATCCCATGTCTTTGATTTCCAGTGCCGGTAGTGTCCGTCCTGTAGTCGTAGTGGTGATTCTTCTCTCGACCTTTCGGATATCCTCATCCTGCTTAGGTAGCTTCCAGCTTCGCTTTACTAGAATTGTCAGCCCTTGTTGACCGGCCTCGTATACCTGCCCTGCCGTTGGAGTCCGGGGGATCCAGCAATCCAGTCCGTCACCCAGATTCCAGGCACAGGAGAGGCGACGCGAAGCCAAGGGGAGCCAAGTTATTCCAGGACTACTCGAGTACTGCCAGTCTGCCCGCCACGAGAAGTTGAAGAGAGAACAACAAAACCCCATCGCTGTGCCCATTTGAACACCCTATGAACCCCATAATTTTGAGAGCTGCACACTCCAACTCCAGCCTCCCTCCCTACCACACCACACCGTAATTCGGCACCCTAATCAGGCACCCTAACCAAAACGTCCAACCAAAACGTCCCCATCCCCATTCAGAAACACCAGCACAGCACACCAAGTGGTATCCCCCAGCCCACCTCATCCACCCCTCAACAACCACATCTGCGCCCACCGCCCACCACCCACCTTGCTAT